TGCAATATTATTCAAAATGGGTGAACCTGGAGGACATTATGCTGAGTGAGGTATCTCAGTCACAAAGGGACAAATGCTATATGGTGCCACTGTTGTAGAATGAGGCTCGCCTTCACCTTTATCTTCTTGTGGCACTTGAATATTCTATAAATTCTAGATATAAGTCCTCCATCAGACATGTCATTGTATTGTTGTTGTTAAGTTCCCATCAAGTCATAGGCGACTCATAGCGACCCTATGTATGAAAGACCTGCACACTTGTCATTACCAAGTATTTTTTTCTAGTCTGTGGCTTCCCTTTTTACCTTGCTGGAGAAGTGTTTGGATGTGCATAGGGATTTGATTGTTAGAAGGTGCCATTCATCTATTTTATCCTTTCCTGGCTGTACGTGAGTTTGCCCATGTTTTTCTCAAGGAACGTCTGGTGGATTTGAACTTCTAGACCCCCCATTTGAGTGAGTAGCACAACTCTTTGGCCTACCCCCATATGTCTATGAAAAAGGTTTAATCACTTCTTCCTTAGCAGTGACTTTCTATTCTACTGCTATTTGAGTCGATTTCAACTCCTTCATGGGGTTTACAAAGATGTATACCTTTGCCAGACAAGACTAATGGATTCATACCTAGGACTTTTCAGTTAGTAGTAGAACAACACATAATGTACTAAGCGATCAGGGCAACTCCTGGAATGTTCTAGGGTTTCTGGGTCAGAGCAAGTAGTCAACCAGGTGTTTGATTGACATAGTAACTGCTGCAATGTAGTTGACACAATGTAATTGTAAGTAACTGCTCAACTATGTCAGAGATGATGATGGCACAAGATAGGCCTGGGCTCTGATCTGGTGCTCATAAGATGGCTATGAGTCACAGTCAATTCAATGGCACGTAAAAACCAAAAAACAGGACCTTCCTATGCATCTGAAAGTTGAACAATTACTAAGGGCGAAAGAAGATAACTGTGGTGCTGGTGAAGGTACTACTGACTGTCCCATGAACTGCAAAAAGAACAAACAAGTCTGTCATGGAGTAAGCACAACTAGGAAGCTCTTTAGAAGCAACGATAGTATATCTCCATCTCACATACTTTGGACATGTTGTCAGGAGGGTCCAGTTCTTGGAAAAAGACATCTTGTTGGAAAAGGTGGAGGGTCAGAGAAAGAGAGAGGGAGACCCTTGAGAAGATGAACTGATACAGAGACTGTAACAATGGCCTTAAGCATGCCACAGATGATGAGGATGTTGTTGCTGTTGTTGATTGCCATCAAGTCAAGCATGACTCATAGCAACCCTATGAAACAAAGGCCTGAAGCCTTTCTATAACTATCCTCATTTCTCTAGGTTCGTAAGAGTTTCCAGAGGTATGTGGTTTAGGAAGTGGATGCCACTCCTGCTTCTAAACCTGAATTAATCCAGGAGCACTACCAAACACAACCATGATGGGTAGCCAATGATGGTGTTTGACATACCTATGGCCCAGCTGTCCTTCATCACAGCAACTCTAAGTTACTTCAGCAGAGCAAATATGTCACTGCTGTATCATTAATATATGTAAGTTTTTATTAACTGAAAAATAAACAGCATGGGATACTACAAAAACTTTATTTTTCATTTTCTCCACTACTGCACCTATATAATTTCAAGATAATTGTAATCAACAGTTTCCTTACAGCTGAACTATACTCTCAAGGCTCATTTGGTAAGATGTTGACAGTTCATCTCACGTATTTTGGGCATGTATTCACGAGAAGCCAAACTTTGGGGAAGGACATTATTCCAGAAAAGCAAAGGCTCACTGAAAGAGGAGTCCCTCCACAAGATGGAATGACACAGTGATTACAACGATTTGCTTGAACAGCAGAAATTATGAGGACCACACTGGACAGAGTAGTTTCATTTGCTCTGCTGCTTATTTAAAGGCACATAACAACAAACTTCTTCCCCTTTGCCCTCATTCTGTATGTCTTCTACCAGTAACCTGGATATTATCAAATTTAGTATGGAAAATAGACGAAATTATAGAAAGCTGATAGTGCAGGAAAAGGCAAGGTTCAAATCTGTTATTCATAGGACTGTTATAAGTTGTTGTTGGTTTGAGGGCACATATTAGAGTCCCCTAGAAATAACAGAATTTTATATCACATATCATTATGGGGAGGGTCTGCGGTTGTGGATAGGTGCTGTTGACTCGAGTAGGATTCATAGCAACCCTATGAACGACAGACCTGAACTCTGTCCTATCCTGTGCCATCACTATCATCATCATCATCATCCCTGATCCACTTGAGCCCATTGCTGCAGCCATGTCAATCCGCCTCATTGGGGGTCTTCCTCTTTTTCATTGACCTTCCACTTTCCCAAGCAGTATGTCCTTCTCCAAGGAAAAGTATCTCCTTGCAATATGTTCGAAGAGCAAAAGACGCGGCTTCGCCATCCTTGCTTCCAAGGATCACTGGGTCTATGTTACCCCAAAGCGGTTTCACCAACACCCCTGACTCAGTGGACACACCCACTAGCCTCACCTGCGCCGGACTCGGCTCCGCCTCTTCCTGTCTTGTCTGAAAGCCACGCCCCTCCGCGGGACCTATCGCTGGAGAGCGGGGAGGCGTGGCCTGTGATGTCACTGCCGGCTGGCCGCCATCTTGCAGGTCAGCGGCCGGCCGCGGCTGTGGCGCCGGCGGTGGTGAGGGCGTGGGGAAGGGTGGGGTGAGGGGGCGAGGCCGCAGCGAAGGCGGTGAAAACTCTCCTCCCCGCGATCCCCGCGCGTGGGACGGCGTGAACGTGGTGTCGGAGGGATGTCCGCCTTCTCCGAGGCGGCGCTGGAGAAGAAGCTGTCGGAGTTGAGCAACTCGCAGCAGAGCGTGCAGACCCTGTCTCTGTGGCTCATCCACCACCGCAAGCACTCGCGGCCCATCGTCACCGTGTGGGAGCGAGAGCTCCGGAAAGGTGAGCCGCCCGCGCCGGGCCCCCGCTCGCTGCTGGCTCGTTCCCGGGCGCCGCTGCCGTCCCCGCCCCGCTCGTTCCCCGAGCCCCGCACCCCGGCGCCCGCGGCTTCCTGTCGCCGGGAGAGCCGTCCTCGGGGTCCGCGCGCCCGTCGGCGCTGCCTGCAAAGTGGGCGCTCGATCGGTGCGAGACAAATAAAGGATCGAGCGTAAAAGAGCACATGTCCAGGGAGCACAGCTTTGCAGTTAGGGTCAGAGTTCCATGCAGAATGGTGCTCTCCTCTAGATACATTATTATAGTGCTGCTGCTGCTGCTGCTGCTGCTGTTAGGTGCCGTGGAGTCGCACCCATCGCCCACCCTCCAGCAGGGTTTCCGAGGCAGTAAATCGCACAGGACGAGATTACCCATCCTTCTCCCGGGGAGGCGGAGGAAAAGATCATGGGAAGTGGAAAGGAAAGGCACCTCGATTACTGTGGGATTGGAAGGTGCTTCTAGTTCTGCAGCACGTAAACCTTAGGTTGTAAGATGGACAGAGGCATCCGAGTTTTACAGCCCGGGAGCCTGGAGACGTGCAATGCAGCGTAACGAAGCCCGCATTTGTAGCTTTTGAGGATCAAGACTGAGCACGTTTCTTTACTTTTCCCGATTGCAGTTGCCTCACCTGAAAACGAGGGAGTTAAGTGAATCGGGATCCTGCTGTGTGTGTGTGTGTGTGTGTGTGTGTGTGTGTGTGTGTGATGATGATGATGATGATGATGATGATGTCGGCGCACCGTCATTGTTTTGCAGAGCATTTGCTAGGGCGTCTAGAAAGGACCAAACTTTTTGAGCTTTGAGCTGTTTTTAACTTAAATAAACTTAAATCTCTGTCCAGCAGTTTACATTGATTTTATGTTAGTGTGCCCGAAAATGAATTTTGTTTGCTTTGTTTGTAATGTACTTTGTGCCTTTCTTTTTAATTGGTTTGTGTACACAATTTGTATACATTGTATTTCAGTCATGTGCCATCATTTTTGCTTCAATGGGATGGGGTAGAAGCTCTTTGTTGTTGATGACATATTTATGACTATGCATATATGAATATTGATTAAATGTTAATAGTTTTGAACTTACTGAGTCATAAAAGCCATATGATTATGTATTATCGTAAGAGCTAACATATAGACTGTGTAGGCTGTTTACAGACTGTCCTTTGCCTAATGGAATACTTGGGTATATTTGGAAGATGTGTTATCCCTTAGCAGACGCTGATTTAGAACCTTTTGCAGTCTATAGATGAGTGGATGTGTATTGGCTCTCAGCAAGGAACTAGTGTGTGAGAAGCTGTGCAGATTTAAAGAACATTGATATGTAAGTTGGGGGAAATAGCCAACAGTGAACTTTGAGGAGTCCAACACTGTTTCCTTCTACACCTTACTAGATCTCAAAACTAGCAACAAGTTTATACTTTGTTTGGAAAAGGACATTTACATGCAAATAATAAACAAAGGATTGGTAACCCAGGCTATCTTTGAGAATTACTATGAATCAGTGAGGCAACCCAGTTTTTTAAAAACAATGGCAATGGCAGTTCTATTTACAGGCATGAGAGGAAATCCGAAAAGTTAATAATTAATGCTGAATCTTAGTATTCCCATTCCATTTCTTCTAAGGCTTATGGTAATATGATTGTTTTGGAATATGGCATTAATCATTCCTTTGGATGTTTTATCTGTTGTTGTGTACTATTGAGTCAGAACCAACATATAGCTGACCCTGATTGACCCTCCAGTGTGTTTTCAGAGGCAGTTTAAACACAGGGGTGGAGAATGCCTATGCTTGTTAGGGTAGAGAGACAGCGCAGGAGGGGAAGACCCTCTATGAGGTGGATTGATTCAGTGACTGTGGTAATTGGGATGGGTGTGTCAGATGCAATGCGATTGGCACAGGATAGAGCAGGGTTTAGGGTTGTTGTACGTAGGGTCGTAGGGTCCCTATGAGTCGCAAACGACTCCACGGCACATAACAACAAACAACAACAACCTTCCAGATTGCGGCTCAGCTTTATAGCCTTAGGCCACCAGAACTCCTTGATAATTTATCTACTACATTTGAAATCCATTGGATTCAGTCATTGAAGACATCTTTCTTCCTTAGAGCAACTGGTGGAGTTGAACCCCCTAAGTTTTTGTTTCGCTGTCAAACAACTAACACATTACATCATCAGAGCTCAGCTGTATCTATGGTAGGCTGAGTACCTCTGGAAACCAGGTTGGAGGTTTGCGTTTACTCACATGCACCCGGGATGGCTTGCAGATTTGCCTCCCAGAACAACAGCATCAAACCCTGTAGAGCACAGTTTTGCTCTGATCCACAAAATCCTGAGTCAGTCTGATAATAGCAGCGGGTGTTTTAACTGGCATAAGTCTGCATTTTGGAGGTACATCCACACTCTTTTCTGCAGTGGCTGCACCATTTTACATTTCCCTTGCTAGTCTTGTTAGCTAGCCACATTGCCTTAGAGTCCTTTCAGAGCCATAATAACTCTATAGGACAGAGTAGAACTGCCCCTTTGGATTTCCAAGGGTATACATCTTTATGGAAGGGAGCTGATGGTCTAGTGGTAAGGAGTTGTCCTGCCAACCCAAAGGCAGGATGTTCTAATCTACTAGCAGCTCTGGATTTACTGCCCCTTAAAACCATCTGGAAGGTCACCTGTGGGTCATCTTGACCGTACACAACAGTCTTTACTGAAGTAGAATGGATGTCTTTCTTTTGGAGCAGCTGTAGTGTTTGAACTGCCAACCTTTATTTAGGTCAGCAGCCTAATGCTTAATCTACTGCACCATTTAGCATTTTATTCAGAGTCCTGTTTTCTCTGTGTTCTTAACACACTTGTTAAGCCTTTGGTTATAGCTATTATTTTTTTTTTAATTTTTTTTTTTTTTGTGTGTGTGTGTACTGTCAAACGACGCCAAGGCTGGAGAGTAAGGTGCGCCTGATCCAGGCTATAGACTTTGCAGTTACGTGCTGTGCATCACAGAGTTGGACAATGAATAGGGATGATAGAGAATTGTTGCCTTTGAGCTGTGGTGCTGGAGAAGAGTATTGAATATACCATGGAACAAACAAGTTTGTCCTGGAGAAGGTGAAGTCGGAATGCTCCTTGGAGTCAAGGATTCTGAAGCTTTGTCTGACGTACTTTGAGCATGTTGCGAGGAGGGACTGGTCCTTGGAGAGTGACATCATGTTTGGCAGAGTGTAGGGGCAGCGAAGGAGAGGCAGACCTTCGATGAGATGGATCGATTCTGTGACTGGAGTGGTGGGAATTAGTGCATTTGAGATGGCTAAGCTGGCACAGGATGGGACGGCGTTTAGAGCTCTTGGACATAGGGTCGCTATGAGTCGCAGGCATAACAGCAACAACAACCGTCAAACCAGATCTGACTGGTACAGGAGGAGATTGTCCCCCCTTCTCCAGCAGAGCATCTTGTGGATTTGAACCGTGCGTCTCTGGGATTTCAGTGCACCTTCTTGCCACTAGGCTGCCAGTGCTCGCCTGGTTTATCTATTCTAATGACTATAAAAAGATATTCAGTGGTGAACATCCTTTCATGTCCTTTATTGGCTATTTGTCATATTTGAGAAATGTCTATTCAGATCCTTTGCTTACGTTTTAGCTGGGTTATTTTTCTTATTTTTGGGCAGTGTGCTTCAAAAAATTACCAAGGAAAAACCCTTTGGCTTAGTTGCACAAAGGTCATGATGACCTGGAAGCTCACTCAGAGGCAGCTAACAGCAAATTCTCTAAGTATTATAGGTACAAGTACCTTATCCTGGAGTTACAAACATTTCTCCCTTTCAGGGAACTGTCTTCATTTTCTTAAGCATTTTTTGAAGGTGATTGTTTTAAGCTGTTAAGTGGCTTTATCAGTACTTTCTTTTTCATTGCTGCTGTAACAGAAATATTACAAGTGAGTGGCTTTCACGAACTAACATTTATCTTTGTAGTTCAGGTGATTGGAAGTAGTGATTTACAGTATTGGTTCTAAGGGAAGGCTCTCTTCCTGTTGCCTCTGGTGATTTCAGACAGCTGCTGCGCAGGAGAAAGATGCGGCATTTTCTTCCCATTAAAATGTACAGGCTTGGAAACCCAGTGGAAGGATTCCATGAGTTGAAATCATTTTGAGAGCAGTGGATTTGGTTTTAGAGTTATTAAGGAGCCATGGTGATGTGGTGGCTGGAGCATTCACCTGCCAAGAGAAATATCTGCGGTTCAAACCCCTGGGCTTCTCTGAGGGAGATGTGACATGCAGTCTGCTTCTGTAGAGGTCAGAGACCAGCCTACTTCTGTAGAAGCTGAGAGTCTTGGAGAGCCCTAGAGAGTCTTCGTGATGGCTGTGGGAGCTTGTGAGTCAGTGTCCCCCGCAAAGCTTCAGAATGAATCAGCCTCATGTATGTTATTTATGTTTGCATGTTTGTGGCTCAGCAGAACTGTTAAATGCCTTAGCTGCTGTTGTAAGGTGCCATTGTGTTCATTTCAGCCTGGGGCAGCACTGTGTGACAAAGTGGAGTTGCTGCCTTCAGTTTCCTAGGTTGTGATCTTTATGGCAGCAGATTGCCAGATCTTTTCTGCTTTTGAGTTGCTGGATGGGTTTGAACCACCATCTTTTCATTTAGCAGCTAAGCACTTAACCATTGTCTCACTCTTAGAGTATCTTAACTCACTGTTTATTGATTGTCTTCTGTGTAGCACATACTAGATATTCCAGTGATAACTAGAAGTGCCCACCCTCACAGATTTTATCTCATGGTGAGGGCAAACAAGAAGCAAAACATTGTAAATATAAATTTTGTGTTAGTGTGGTAGAGGAGGAAATTTAACTTATCTTTGAATACATGATGGTCAATAAAAGACTGTAACTGAGCTAACTAGCTGTTAAGTATGAAGATGCTGAGACTAGAAATAGTTTGGCTATAAAGAGCTAAATCTGAGAGTGTTCACCACTTGAAGATCTGTTGCA